GCAGAGAAGGTAAACACCAGCCAACAAACTCAGATTTATTAACATATTTAGAAATGATAAATGAAAAACTGTCTAGTGTTGATAAACGTTTAATTTCTCTAGAGAAATTAGAAATGAAAGTTGAAAATTTTGATAAGGAGATGAAAAAATTATGGGTTTATATCGAAGACAAAAGCAAAAAATCAGATGAAAGAATAGAAAAAATTGAAAATAAGACAGAAAGTACAGATTTTTCTTTAGGTCTTGTTAACGACAAAATGATTCAGCTTGAAAAAGAGAAAGAGAATTTACACGACGAGTTAGTTTATCTACAGTCGCAATCAATGCGAAACAATCTAGTATTTGGGAATATACCGGAGGCCCCGACAGAGGATAGTGATGAAACGGAGAAAAATCTTAGAAACTTTATGCATGAAAAGATGAAAGTGGCAAGTGAAATTGTAGATGCTATAAAATTTGAACGTGTTCATAGGATGGGACCAAAAGGCAATGGTAGATGTCGTAAAATTGTGGCAAAATTTACATTGTTCAAAGAGAGGGAAATGATCAGAAAGCAGTGGAAAACTTTAGAGAGCACACCATTTTTTGTGCATGAACAATTCCCAAGGGAGGTTAGCGACAAACGAAGGCTTTTACTACCAAAGATGAAGGATGCGCGGAAACAAGGGAAGACGGCGTGGCTGGCGTACGACACGCTCTATATTGACGGGCGACCAGTGAAGGATTAGGGACTCAGAGAGGATGACCTTAAGATTCTGTCTTGGAATGTTAATGGATTAACCCGAGGTAAACGTGGATATGACGATTTTGTGAAAATTATTTCAGATAACGATATTGTGTTTTTATATGAATCTTGGACAAATAACTACAGTAACATTGACGACATAGTTTTAATTTTGTTGTTGTTTGCAGATGATATGGTCATTCTAGGAAAGACTCCTGCGGAATTGCAAAACAGTTTAGATCTTTTACACACATATTGTGATACCTGGGGTTTGGAGGTAAACGCGGAGAAAACAAAAATTATGGTGTTTAGAAAGCGCAGAGTTTATTTACCTAACGAGAGTTGGACCTACAATGGCCATAACATTGAAAATGTAAATGATTTTAATTATCTGGGAACGGTGTTTAACTACACCGGTAATTTTTCAATGAATCAGGAGCACTTATCAGGTAAAGCTTTAAAGGCACTGAATGTGCTCTTGGTAAAATGTAATAAGTTTAAATTAAAACCCTTATTGTTATGTCAGTTATTTGACTCATTTGTTGGTGCTATATTGAACTATTCATCAGAACTATGGGGTTACACAAAATCAAAGGTAATTGAAAGAATCCATCTTAAGTTTTGCAAACGTATTTTAAATGTTAGAATTTCAACCGCAAGTGCTGGTGTTTACGGCGAGTTGGGAAGATTCCCGCTATATATAACAAGATACGTAAGAATTGTAAAATATTGGTGTAAATTGCAACAGTCAGATAATATTATTTTACAAAAGACATATGAGCAGGGTTTGATAGATTGTATTAAAGGACGTAAAAACAGGGTTTCAAACGTTAAAAAATTACTAAGTGATTATGGATTTGCAGATGTTTTCCTCAATCCTAGATCGGTTGATTTGAAAAAATTTCCTAATATTTTTAAGACACGAATCGTTGATTGTTATAAACAAGATTGGAACGCATCAGTAAATAATTGTGCAGTGCTTGAAAATTATAAACATATTAAGCAAGAGCTAAGTTATGAAACTTATTTGGATATTTTACCTTTTAATCTAAGAAGTTATTATACAAAACTTCGTTTATCAGCACACTCACTTAGGATACAGACCGGTCGTTATTCAAGAAATAGAATACCTAGAAATGAAAGATATTGTTTGCAATGCAATTTGTTAGACTTAGAAGATGAATTTCACTTTTTATTTAAATGCCCATGTTATGAAGATATAAGGAAGAAATACATTAAAAGATACTTTTTTCAAAGGCCGAGTGTGTTTAAAATGATGCAGCTGCTAACAAATAAAAATTATACTGTAATAACAAATCTAGCAAAATATATTAAAGCCGCTACATACGTACGACTTTCACTATTAAGTAACTGATATTCACGTACATTGTTCATCCTTTGTATACTGTTTCACAATGTTCATCCTCTCTATATACTGTTTAATCTTAATTGATATCAAATTATATGATTACAAGCAAATGTTCTTCAGATTTTGATCACAATAAAATTTCTTTCATCTGTTTGTTAAAATGGTTTCTCGACCTATGCACATAATTAATTTAAATTATATGATTGCATATATGTGTTTATTGTATGATGAATTACTTTTGCACAAATCTCAAATACTATTCCTGCTTTGTTTTACTTAGTATGTATTATTGTGCAATCAATATACTTTTCAAGTGTTAACATAACCATGTGACATGATATATTGTATTATATATATATATTTGCAAGACGATGTATTATGTACAAGTCTCAAATAAAATGTCTGTTCTGTTCTGTTCTGTTCTGTTTAGAAAAAATGCTTATTGGCTGGCAACTTAGATTAACACGAGACCGTCGATTCGTTTAGTAACCTACTAATCGACGGTCTCCTACAATTAACGGTCTATAAACTACAAATCGACGGTCTCTCACCATTGACGGTCTTCGACGGTCTTTAGAATATATACAAATGTGCATAAACTCACAAATTTGTGTATGTATTTTTTAAGCTAAAACATCGAAATTATATTACTGCTACTAATTACTACTATTACTTATGATATAAATAAAAATATTAGACATTGATATTTCTAATAAATTTAATAGCATTTTTATATTCCAATATATTTCATTGTCTTAAAAAAAAAGAATAAAAAAAATAAAAAAAATGGCATGTTAATTATGTTTCATCTTATTCAATTTTTTAATCGTATAATTATAAAAAAATACTGAAATCAATAAATCATTATCTTAGAGAATTTGCTTATTGACCGGCTAAATTAATTAATAACTATGTAATATCCATCAAATTAATGTATAATCACGAGACCGTCGATTTGTATAGTAACCTGCTAATCAACCGTCCACTACAATCGACGGCCTTTGTAGACATAAAACTATACCATGAGACCGTCTTTATCTATAAACTACAAATCGACGGACTCACCCCATTTTGACGGTCTTCGACGGTCTTTAGAATATAATTTTATATGCAAATATGCATAAACTCACAAATTTATATTTATACTACTACTACTACTACTAACTACTACTAACAATAATAATATAGATCTAAATAAAAATATAAGACCTTGATATTTATTAATAAATTCAATAACATTTTTATATTTCAATATATTTCATTGTTAATTTGTTCATCTAATTTGCTGCATAACAATATCTTATTTTACCCATATTTTTTATATTTTTCCCTTTTTTATCTAATCATTTCTTTCCCCATTAATATCCTTAAATATTGACTTAAATAAAGTATCGTCGTAAAAGAAAAATGTTAATTGACCTATTATTAATTATTTCTAAATTATTCTTATCAATTCATCGCGAGACCGTCGATTTGTGTGATAACCTACTAATCGACGGTCTCCTACAATAGACGGTCTTCGACGGTCTTTGGAGACCGTCAAAGACCGTCGATTTTGCGGAGACCGTCGATTAGTATCCCCCTTATTTGTTCTACCTTCTGGTTCCCGATGCATGAGAGCCAAAGTACTTGCAAAAATTTGGTGCCAATTTTATCAAGTCATAAATTAACTAACTATCATAGAACACAATAATTCAGGAAGATGGAAAACGATTTTCAAATTAGATAACTTTCAACAGTTCAAGCTTAAAATGGTTAAAAAGTGTGAATGACAGAGTAAAAATTTGTATGCGTATGAATACGAACTATTTTCCCTCTGACGTCATTTTCCCGAAATCGCCATCTTGGTCAGATATTCCGAGAAAATGTTGAGAAGATCTGCTATCAATTAGGAAGTCCCAGCTATTACGTTGATATTTTGGTTGCAATCAATTCTGTATGTATAATCAAGTTTTCTTCACAATCTGGTAAAGCTATTGATATATTTCGCTTGATAGACTGCAAATTTTAGTGCAGTGTCGGCTCGGCCCTAAAACGTACTCGGCCCCGAGTCAGCACGGCCTTTTTTCAACTCGGTCCACTTTTCAATTTATCAACATATTGGTTTTTCTTATCATTTTTATTGTTGAAACCACATAATTAATATCTGGACTTATTCAGAAACCTGGAAAGATATTTTCTTAAATTATTATTACATTTTTGACTACTTTTTGAACACATCTCTATCAGTATAATACTCAATTTACTGTATTAGCTATCTAAGCTTAACAAGATAGGCCCAAAACTTGTCATGATATACAGGTAAAATGTAATAATTGGTGAAAAATGATAGTTTTTAATTTTGTGATCATGATTTTTGCAAGCGACTGGAGGTACTGTCCCAGCCCTGTAATGAATAAAATCCTATCCTATGAGACTAGAGGTCCCAAAATTTAAAGGACTAGTAATAATTATAATTGTTAAATACATTAATATGACCCCTGCAGAACAGGGCAGATCGTGAGACAAGGCGGACCGTACCAGGGCGGACTGTGACTTGAGACTAGGCGGACCGTATTTTAGGACATCAATAATTTAATACTTTTATTACATTAGTCCACATATAAATACTTTTTAAATCACGGTCCGCCTAATCTTGAGTCACGGTCCGCCCTGTCCTTAATTCAATATGACTTAAAATAAGAAATACTTATTTCATACATGTAGATCTGATTTTCACACTTTTGCCTTCATCAGATGTAGGATTTCATGATATTTATGGTCAGTCCATAATTTTATAGATTTTTTATTTTATAAAAAGAATAAGGAAAGTGAAACACACGAAACAAAGTGGGTCAGGTTTCTATAATTTTATTTAAGACCTACGTTACGGCTATTCAATAGCCTTCATCAGGGTACCAATTTTTTTTTATTTGTAAATTTATAGACATTTATATCTGAAAAAAGTAGTTGAATTAAAATTCAAAACCACAGGTCGATAATAATAAGATAACTGATTATATCATTAAATATAACAGATTCCAGATAATGTGAATATCGGCATATATTACGCTTTAAAATCAACTAAAAACGTACAAGGTTAACAATTTGTTGCGTTCATTTACGCACTCTGTAAATTAATTACGCAAAGAATGTGAATTTGAAGTGTTTTTGGTGTGTACTTTCATTTTCGAAACAGCTGATTGACCGCTTCCATTTAACAGTTGAACTGTGTATCTATTTCCAATTAATACCTGTCAAGATACTTTCAACTATTTTTTTCTGTAAACCAGTCAAATTATGTCTTTATTGCTTACGTGCTTGATAAAATAATTGTTCTATTTTCTTGATAATTGTAAGGATTTATTAATACACATGTTGTGCATGGTTGCTTCAAGGGCTAATCAAATTGACATTTTTTTCACACAACTCGCCGGGGAAACTTGATAAACTTACCTCATTACCTTTGTTGATATACACAATCAATAAAAACAACTTGTCTTTAGCAGCGGAATTTTATATACATCATATTAAGTCATCATTACTTTTATTGTTTAACATCTATATGATTATTACACTAATAGTATTCATGGAATTGGTAGAGGAATAGGCAGTGGCTAGCAGTATGAACCAGTATTGGCTGTATGCGAGTCAAATACGACTAGCATATACTCACTGTTGAGGCTAGCTGTACAGCATTTTAAAAATGAGTTGCCTAAAACAATAATATGCAAACTTGTTTTTCTAAAAGAAGATTTTATTGAATATCATATACAATTTCAGTCAATGCGAAAGTAACAAGAAATTCCACCCGCAAGGACTGGGATCCTTAGACTGATGATTTTTCCCCGCCCAGACTCTGACAGGTTTTTTTGTAGGTATGGGGGAGGGATATTGCCATAATTATAAAGAAAAATATTTAGCATATATGAATTATCAGACTCAACTATAAGATACTAAAGAAAAAAATATACAGAAACATAATTGATAAAACATTAGCATAATTCACAAGAAAACAATTCATGTACATCTTTCAAAGGTTTAATTTTGAAGATTGGAGAAAAAATATGTTTTGGTAAAGAAATTATCCGAGACAAGATGGTGGCTTACATTACTTAGCAAAAACTGGTCGTATCCTGCGGTGATTTTGGTTATCTTGGTCTGTGAATACAAGCACAAATTAAAAAGATAGATCGATCTTGGAAGCTTTGCATATTTCAGAAGGCCAAAAATTGTTTCAAACTGGCTGAAATTTTATTCGGACATGACAACTGACTGTATCGAAATTTATCTCGACCCTACTGATTTTTAGTTGGCGAGGTCCGAGGACCGACAGCCTTTTGCACAGACTGCAATTTACAGTTGGTATAGTAATTTGTAGTGTTTGATGATCAAAGGATTTTTTTTCCTTCTGAAAATCATGGAGTTGAATAATTTAAATCTGTGTGAAAGCGCAAAGAGAAAGAGACTGAAAATTACTTTATTATATTTTTATGGACATTATTATATAGATACATTTGTAATCAAACATGTGGGTCAATTTCCAACAGAAGTTGAATTATGACAAAGTATTTTTAATAATTTTATTTCACTTTTAGCTACTTGAAAATTTCATGCTGGATGTTTGCTTACCATTACATTTTGCATAAGAGCTCTATGATTGACATTAAAGTCCACGGGCCAATTCATTTCTGATATATCTTTCCGATATCTTGTTATAATATAAAAGGCTGAATGTCATCGTAGAATTATTAGGAAAAAATATATATGTTCATTCTTTGTAAAAATGTTAGAAGACTTGCAAGTTACCAATTTTATCATTGCATTTATTTATTATTGAAAAAATGCTGAACGGCTATCCTCAACAGTGTGTAACTATAGGCTAGAACTTTCAGTTTGCATTTAGGGTCAAAATATATTGTTACAGTCATGACAGCTTTCCCGTTGCTGTCAACAAACTTTAACCTTTCATAACTTTTCAGATCTTGGTGTATTGTCTTCATACTTGGCCACAACAACCGTTCAAATAGACCAGACTAAACTTGACCTCCATATAAACATTCAAGGTAAAATATTTAAATTTTCCTGATTTTTGCTATTAGTGGCTATGACTTTGTTATTTTTGAATGGATTGTCTTCAAACTTGTATGCAACAATCTTTCAGGATAGGACCTGATTCACTCATTAATGTCCTTGAAGCTTTTGTGATCAGAAGTTGTGTAGAATAATACAAATACAGAACAATTTCATTTACTTGGTTTTGCAATTTCTGAGACAATGGATTTTAAAGATAGTTGTTTTCTTAAAATTTAAGGACAGTATAGTAGATTGAAAAGACATTTAGTACATACTGTATATACACTATAACTACTATAGTATACTATAAAAATCTTTGTTCTTGGACAATTTTGAAACAAATTGTTTCTTAAACAGTGTAAGAAATTAGGATTTGAATCGACTAGTCTGGTCGGACTACCAGATTGGAATATTCACTAGCCAAAAGACATTTCTCTGGCACGATTTAATTTGTTCAAAACAGTTGTTTATATTGCCTCTTAAAATACAGTAGCTTGGTCAGGCTGTTACTGTGAAAAGTTGGTAGCCCGAGGAGAAATTTAGTATTCGGGGCTATAGGACTACTGCTAATTTCTAACACTGCTTAAATTATTGATTTGACTATTGATTTCAACTAACATAATTATTGGGATACTATATGTATATCTAATAATAATTATATTTTATCTTTCCAACTTTCTGTTTCAGATGGTCGGCCTACATGTCAGATTTGTAAATGTGAACGGCACGATATCGATTTTAAGGATGCTTTAGGGTCAATGAGGATGAAATAAAATGTGAGACTGTCAATCTGACAAACCTTGCAGTGAATAAATGGTAAAATGTTTCTTTCAGTAGCATGGCATTTAAGGAAGCGGTACATGATGATTTAGAAGTGGTTGTATATGATATTTCTTAATTATTATATTCTAATAGCTTTTTAGTCCCCTACCGGTTTACCGGAGGGGACTTTAGGTTTACCCTCCGTCCGTATGTCCGTCCGTCCGTCTGTCTGTCAGTCCGTCCGTCCACAAAACTGGATCCCGCGATAACTTGAAAAGTACTGAAAATATTTTTATGAAACTTGATATATGGATAGATGGCAGTATGGAGATTATGCACGTCTTTTTCTTTTCTTCCTATGTTGAAAATTCTGGTTGCTATGGCAACAAATAGGCTGAAAATATGGCAAATTTTACACATAAACTGGATCCAGTGATAACGCAAAAAGTACAGGAAATATTTTTATGAAACTTGATATATGGATAGATGGCAGTATGGAGATTAGGCACGTCTTTTTCTTTTCTTCCTATGTTGAAAATTCTGGTTGCTATGGCAACAAATAGACTGAAAATATGGCAATTTTTACACATAAACTGGATCCAGTGTTAACGCAAAAAGTAATAGAAATATATTTATGAAACTTGTAATATGTGTAGATGGCAGTCTGGAGATTATACACGTCTTTTTCTTTTCTTCCTATGTTGAAAATTCTGGTTGCTATGGCAACACATAGACTGAAAATATGGCAAATTTTACACATAAACTGAATCCAGTGATAACTCAAAAAGTACTGGAAATATTTTTATGAAACTTGACATGTGGGTAGATGGCAGTCTTGAGATTATGCATGTCTTATCTGTTCTTCCTATTTTGAAAAAATATTGGTTGCCTTGGCAACAAATAGGCTTAAAACATGGCAAATATAACAATATTTGTGATTAGTCAAAAAGAGCTGAAACTTTTTATGAAATTGCATCTTTAATTCCAGAGTTATCTCCTCTTTAAGAATTTTGCTTTTAAAATGTCATATTTTGGTAACAGGGATGTTTCAGATATTAACTTTAGAGTGTCCTTCAGTCCGTCTGTCTGTCTGTTCATAAAAACTTTTTCCTGTGATCACTTTTAAAGAACATTTCCAACAAATTTACTTAAAATAGAGAAAAATTTACACATTAGTGAATGCCCAATGGCCCTTCAGAATGCTGATGGAGTTCTATCCGGTAGGGGACTTATGGATTGCTTGCAATACTATAATAATTGCTTGTTTTTCTTGACTTGTTTAAAGGCTGACACAGGATAGTTTATTTTAAGTCAGTGAGCTTCTGTCACTGGATAGACTATAGTCACAAAAATCCAAATTTATAAAAAGGAATTACAGTGAATTTAAATATCATCTTATAGAATAGAAATTAGGAACAGAATTAATAACAAGAACAATTGTGACATGTAACATGTATTTAGGAATTCAGCTTTCCTTTCCTTTTCACCTCAGGAGAATTCACATTAATTTAAAATAATGAATATTCACAATAAGCACTCCGACATATCTGACATCAGTCTTCACGAAAAACTTTAAAAAGCACAGGACATTCGGGCCAGTAAAATATCAAATCTTACTGGACCTGGTGATTTTTAGCTGGACCAAATACATAGATAGGTAATTAATTGATGGGTACAAGAAAACACTTTATCATGCTTCCCTTGATAATTTTGAAAGAAGCATAATACGTCTTGTATTCTGGGCCATATATTGACAGCTTTGAAAAATCTTTAAGGACCAAATGTTTAGGCAAAATTGACTAGAATTGAACATGAACAAAGGAATTTGCTTCAAACAAATCACTTTCACACAAAATATTTACTTAACTCAATAACCACAAAATCATAGCTAAATAATGACCATAATAAACAATGGTTTAATTTCCGTAACTGTACGGTGCAGTACGGAAAATATCCAAGAAAAAAAAATACAATTTAGACATCTCTCGCTGTGTTTTGAACATTTAGGACAGAATTGATGGGTTTCATTTGCAAAAAAGGCAAAAAGGTCAATCTTTTAGAGAACCCTGCTTCATTATTTTGATGAATTTTTCTTATAATATTTTTTCATGACAAAAAATCTACTGGTCCGTCGGACCACCAACCTTGCAATAATCACCGGACCGATGCTGAATTTAGTGGCCTCGGGCCTCGGACTGGCGTTAATTTCGAAGACTGTGACATATATGATTATCTTATCTTCACTTAGCTGTCTATAGCTTATCAGAATCACTCACATTTATAAATTTAAATGATTTTGAAAAAAATGCTGCTTAGCAAATAGATAAAATACTTGGGGTGTCTGTGGCGATTGGTTGACTTTAAACCTTTCACTGCTGTAGGTTCGTGCTCTGCAAGTGTTTACGGATCATTTCATGTGAGAAAGCTATCTAGCTCATTTATGGAACATTGATGGTACCAAGGTGCCTGAAATCATACACATAGGTGCACCAAGGTCTTCCTCAAGCAGTAAAGCTGGAAATTGTGCTTTAAATTGCCCCCACCCCCCCCCTCCCCGAAAAAAAAAAAAAATAATGATATTTTTATTTTGCTATTAACTTTTTCTAAACAAATATTTCAGGAAACAGTGGCGTTTGTATGATAGAACAGTAATAGCAGGAGTGATAAGGACAGATGCATGTAGATGTGTCTTCATGTCGGAAACACTAGAGAAATTGACACATTTGGGTTTTTCAAAATTAAAGAAATTGGAATACCACGAGACTGCTTGCCATTTGCAATGTTGGAATGTGTGATGTCGAAAGCCTCATGAATATAGTAACTTGACTTTATTAATCTAATAAGAAAAAGAAAAGACATTGAGGAGAAAACTAGTCACCAGTCTTTCACCAAGAACATGAGATAACTTTCCAATATTTGAAATATCATAATATGTATAGAACTTGAATGAGCGACATAATATGTATTGATATTGAATGAGCGACCAGTTTTTCACCAGGAAAATAAGATCACTTATCTATTTTTGAAATATGTATGAACATAACTCTATCAACTTCAAGGTGAGAGTTTATCATGAAGAACATGAGATAACTTGTGTATGAACAGAACCACATTTGAATATAGAGGCGCCAGTTCATCACCAAGAAGATGAGCTAACTTATCAATGTTTGAAATCTGTTATACCCCCGCACAACAAAGTTGTAAGGGGCTATACTGGAATCAGCTTGTCCGGCCGTCGGGCGTCCGTCGCTTTTTTCTTGTCCGTCCAAAAATTAAGATTCCTTTGACCCACAGTCTTCATATTTGCATAGAGATTTAAGTCATGATTAGTAGATGACCTCCATTAATTTTGAGAACACCAAGTCAAAGGTCAAGGTCACAGGGGTCTTGACTGAAGAAAGCTTTCCTGCCCAATAACTTAAGAATCCTTCGACCCACAGTCTTCATATTTGGCATGGAGGTTAGTCATGATTAGTAGATGACCCCTATTTATTTTCAGGTCTAAGGTCATGGTCACAGGGGCCTTGGCTAATTAAAGCTTGTCCGCCCAATTACCTAAGAATCCTTAGACCCATAGTCTTAATATTTGGCATGGAGGTTAGTCAAGATTAGTAGAATACCCCTATTGATTTTGAGGTTACTGGGGCAAAGGTCAAGGTCACAGGGGCTTTTATTACAATTAGCTTGTCTGCTCAAATGGTCTCATATATTTATCATAAAACACCTCCAGGCAAGGCTGCATGAAATGGGGGGGTTATTGAAGTCATTCAATGGCAGTTTTAGTTTTGAGGTCAGTAGGTCCAAGGTAAAGTTCACTTTGATCTTTTCTACTAAAACATGTAGAATATATAACTTAGCAATGCACTGGCTTACTTCCCTCAGATTAGGCTGAGCTGTAAATGACTACTGTTGATTCTGACAAATTGGTATGTGGGGGTATTCACGCCATGACAATGGCAGTTCTAGTTTGTACAGAAAATATCAAGATGCAAGTTTCTTTTATTAAGAATAGACTTATTGATTAGATAACTTACAATATTTACAAACATTTATAATACCACACCCATTTAAAGTATTTCAGCTGAGAGTGTATTATCCAAAATACATGTATTGTTATAATGTACTTTATAGTATATTTATTGATATATTTATTGTAAAGTTTTGATTCTACTAGATTTTAAAAACATTTAGATTTTACTTGATCTTGAAAATATTTTGTTCCATGCTCTTTCATTAAATTTTGAATAATGAATCCAATAAATACCTATAATAAGTATAGGATTAAAATTGATAATGTTTTCTATCTTTAACTTATATAAAAAAAGTAATGTTTAAAAACTGTTGGTTAGATTTCAAAACAGGACTAAACAGGGGTGTACAGTGCCATCCTTAGTTGTGCACATTGTTGGCATGTTCTCATTGTCGGATACCCATGGCCGAACCATTATATTCATCATTGATTGCATGTTATGTGACATGTTTATCAATTGTGGGTATCCAACGATGGCAGCCATGTCCTGTTTTCTCTGCACAAAATGGCCGAAGAGTTGAAAAAAGAAAAAATCTATCACATGTACAACTGCCAAAATTCAAAGAGTGATCAGAACCATACACAGTTTTGGGAGAACATGTTTTTGTGACAAAAGCCCTTCAAGTTCATATATGACCTTGACCTTTATTTGATATAAAAATATCTTTGGAGTTAGCTGGAATTGTCATTACTTTGTTATTTTTTACAGATTTGAATCATGCTTGAACAAACAAACACGGAACCAACATGTTGAATTTTTTCTGATATATTTTGACCTTTAAATGACCATTACCTCCAAGGTTAAACAATTGAAATTCACTCACATTGTCATAACTTTGTTTTTGTCTATGATTTGATTCATTCTTGGACAAAAGAACAATTATCATTCAACTATGACCTTTACTATTCAAATTTGAAATTTACTTTATACATTTATATTATGTTTTCTAGGAGTACTCTAAATAGATATTACAATATTCTCCTACTGATGTGTTTGACTTTCAATATAAGAAAAAGCCAAGCATGGCCCAAGCTAGATAGTGGCTCTTGTTTTCAATGCCAACTTGATTATATGTATCCATTCCAATTTACATTCTCACATGTATTATCTATTGTGCTTGAAAGGTTTCTACAAAAAAATAAGTTTGTTCTTACAGTCCTGGTTTTATTTTAGAAAATATTTTATAGACAGTTAAATTTTCTGTTTATTTTCTATCTGCATAATCATTTCTTGGAATAAATATAGTAAGTACACTGATTTATGTGTTTTATACATTCACATAAGGAAGTACTTTACATGAAAATTGGTTAAACAACTATAGTTTCCCAACAAAATCCAATGTCATAATTTAAAATGTTTATTCGTGATATATATGATATCAATTATGCATTTTGCCTGGGTTTGTTAGTATGTTCTTGGTACATGATTTTCTATTTTGACAAGAGTTTGGAAGCGATACTATTATATTGTGTACAAAATGGGCACTTATTCAACTTTGAAAGAAGAATGATATCAGATTGGAACACCTAAAGTAGATTGCTATACAAATCTCGAATTTAGCACATATTGCGCCCCCATCAGTGCTTTCAGCACTTTGATTATCTTAGTGTCTGTATTATATTTATAAAATGGTCAGTATCATATTCATTTAAGATTGTATAGATCTACATTTTGGTTTGTTATTGTTAAATCAGAAGGCCGTACTGAAACAAATTTTTGATAACAAATACTTCGCAGATATAAATTTAAGCTAGTACGCACAGCAGAGATAACAAACACTTGTGATTCGTCTGGAAATGCAAAGTTCTGTGCAAACGCAAATTAGAGTAACCAGCAATGATCCGTATTAATCTGTAAAATACCACGTAAAAATTCTTATCAATGGAAAAACTGAAATTACTTCATCATTAGAGACATATAAAAGAAATTCATAAATTTGCGTCATATGCTATTAATTCTGAAAGCACATTACAATCCTTGAACAACTTATTGACAGAACAATTAGCAGGTATTCTTGAGCATCCCGTTGAAGAACCTCACTGTGAAAGACAACCTACAAAAAGAAAGCATAAATTGTTTAAAATGCAAGAAAGCCAGTAAAACTAAATCAACCTAGCTATTGCAGTCACGGCAACCACTGGATCGATACATTACAACTGTGAAAGGCTCTCGAAAGATAAAATTTTGATACTATAGGAAAGTAACGGCAGTTCAACATACAAATTTAAAATCTGTCCTAAAATGAGCATGATAATAGAACTCTTATGTTACCACAAACAAATTTCTAGAAGATCTTTAGCTTAAGTTTACTTATAGAAGAACTTGAAAATGCTAGTTCACAAAAAGAAGCCAGAACATAAATCCGGATGAACCTATATGTCTGTCATCAAAGTGTCATGTGACTTAATCATTGACACCGAACCAACCACTTGTGACGTCTGTCAATTATATTTTCACACTAAATGTATAAGACAAGAAATTTTGTCATGTATATGTTAAAATTTTATAGGGCTTGAAGACCAAACTCTACTCCATTCAGGAACTGATACAAATTTTAAATCCTATCCAAACTGACATTAGTACAAATATTGAAGATGATAATGCATTTGTCCAAACACAATATGAAGGTAAATGAACTTAGAGTGCTAGGGGGCGTGGACGGTAACTTGCAATTTCCATTACCGTCCATGAACAGGCTCAATCAAACCGAGCCTGCAACATTTTCAATTTTGCCGTGTTGGGCTTTCTTTAGGGATTCTGTATTTTATCTATTTTTAGAGAACTGGAACTGAAACTCCGGAAGAAAGAACAGGAATTATCGAAAAGGGAGAAAATCATGGTAGAAACTGGTAAAGAGGTAACACGATTACAAAATATGATACACAAGATCAACAAGGAAAGGCCGCGTTCAATGAACGCTTACAAGCTTACATTAAGACACTGTAGCATTAGAATACGAAGCAATAATTCAAAAAGACATAATTATATTAAAAACACCTTTAATTAATACTGACGAAAACCAATATTGACACACTTGAGATTATCCAGAGTCATGCGATACGATGGGTAAAAAGGGATTAATCGCCTCTCTCTCGTGTCACAGCCATGCAGAAAGAACTGGGCTGGCGATCCCTTGAACATCGCAGATTGGACTGAAGACTGATAATGTTTTATAAGATATACCATAACCTAGTTGCAATTAATATCCCACCATATGTTCAAGCCCCATATGGGTTAACCAGACATATGCACACTTTATCCCTACGCCAAATACAGGTTTCCTCCGATTACAATAAGTACTCTTTCTTCCCTCTTAGCATTATACTATGGAATAAACCCCTAGCTACATTGCCATCCTGACCAACTTAAGTCAGTTCAAACGGGCAGTGGTGGGATTGCGGTACTAGTCTTGTTCCCAGCGTTTCTAACTATTTTATTCTTTATCTTCTTCTTTTATTATTAACATTTTAACCATGACTAGAATACATTTTCAGTCTCACCTTCCTAGCATGTTTATAATGCTTGGACTTTCTTGCTTTTCTTTCACTTTTTACTAACAATCCGACTGGAGTACCGCTCTTTGGAACCGCTCAAGCCGGTGCTAGGGGACGTGAGGGATGTTGCAATTATTCATTGTCCCTCATGTACAGACTCAATCAAACCGAGTCTGCAAATTTCATGTAATTTTGTTGTGATTAATGCTTCCGAATTCCGATAGATCACTTTGTTTCCAGATTTTTTTGCACTTAGTAAACCAGATCCATAACCTCCCAGGCATCAGTGATCACAATATTGTTGAAGTGAAAGTCAAGACGTCCGCAAGGATAAGTTACTAAAAGCCTCGTATGATTCCCCTTTATAAAAAGGCAAACTGGCAAAACATTAAGTAGTCAATAATAGACTATCACCAAAATATGATAAACAAGATCATCAAGGAAAGGCGGCGTTCAATGAACGCAGCCCCCACCCGACCCAGCACAAGAGCCAGTGGCAAGGAGCCCAGGAGGACCCCAAACAAAAACAGGAAAGGGCACAAGGCAGAGCACGGGCAGGCAAACCACTGCCTAAGAATAAATAATCAGAAACCGACAAGGAACCAAAAGAAAACAAATAAATGATTGAATACTAGGCCCATACAGTCAAAAGGCACAGGGGAAGGGACAT